TGCATTTCTGCTCGCCGACCTTGATCTCCATATCCTTGATCCACTGTGTGACAATAGGATACGGCGCTTTGCTGGTGTTCTTGGTCGGCGTTGTTGGGGTAGGATCCGATGTAGGCGCAAGCGTAGGCACGGCTAGACACTTGCAGACCTGGGCCACTTTATCACAAGCCGGGGTCTGGTCGCGAGCGCACTGGTTTGGGAGGTTGCAGTGGCTGTCTTCGGTGCAAGCTGTTCCCGGTTTCTGTACCGCAGCTGTGGAGGAGGGCCATACTGTGGGCACGTCGGATGGGTTGAATGACTTTTCGCTCTTGGTTGTTTGAGGCAGAGGAGACGTCTGAGGAACTGATGGAGTTGTCGTCAGAATTGGAATTACAGATGGACCGGGCGGGCCAGGAGGTGGCGGTGATTCTGCTAGAACAACATGTTTGTTGTTGTAGCTGGTTGTCCATGCTGCCCATTTTTGAATATTGTGTGATGGTTCAGCGAGTGCTCCTAGTTGAGTGCCGGCCAACAGCAACCAGCCTAGAAAAAGAGTGAATCTGGACTTCGACGGCATGATATGTTTCCAAAAATGGGTTGATGAGGGAGAGAGATGGCAGACACAACAGCGACGTAGTCTGGTAAAAAATGAGGGAGGAAGTGCACTTAAGTCGCCAGTGGACTTATCGCAACTCAAAGGGGAGATGATTGCCTGATTGAAAGTGTAACGCCCTTGTTTTGGGGCTTTGATTCGTGACACCATATCACCCCTTCTGAATCTGGGACAAACAACTCTGTCGTAGACTTGCCAACATTGTATTTTTCTTACTGAAGAGAGCAGTTCATTGACGCGAGGTCCTCGAGCAGCCATTTGTACTTTGAAGGGATGAACTCATGCCACCGCAGCTGTTCCCGAAAATAGACTGGATACAAAACTCACCTCAATAGCCCAAGTGGGTCCGAGTAAATAAAACATGAAGGTACATCAGGGAGGCAGAAAGTCTCAAGAGAACATTAACAAAGAAGCCGATGTCAGCGTTGGAGAGAACTTGGCAAGGGAAGATTGGAGTGTCTGCCTCTGCCCCCTAGTTACTTCATTGCCTTGATTGACCCTATTACTCTTCGACCGCGTTCCGTTTCCGTGTTGCCTCCACTAATGACTGAACTGGACTGGAATATGGGTCAAAGAAACCCCAACATTCTCCAATGCAAACCAGAAACTCATCATGAACATGGCCGCGCAGTTGTATCCTGGCCTGGCTTCGTGTTAAAAGCTTCGAAAAGTATCCGTTCCGGATAAGATAAACGGCTGTACTCGTGATTCGCCACTGTCTAACATGGGACACACTACAGCGCAAGGTAACTCCCAACGCCGGGCGCGGCTGAGATGGCATATTGCATACGTCAAACGCATCAATGAGGAACGTCTATCGAAGCAGCGCCCCATTTCCGATGCCCCTCAGCTAATAGACGAAATTCAAGAATTCGAAGCTCTGTTTGTGGACTTGCCCCCGCTGCCGCCTCGCCTTCCACGACCCGATTATGCTATTGATGTCGGGAACCTAGACCCCGATGACCCCATGGAGCTCGGGTTCTACATTGCTTGTCGAATGGGCCACCTGCAACAGGTTGAAGTCTTCATTCACGACATGTCTCCTAGTCACGCTGTTCGTCAATTTGGTCTGCAGCAAGCTTCTTTCGGGAACCAGCCTGCTGTCGCCAAGTTCTTGCTTGCCAACGGTACAGCTCTCCACGGATACGTCTTTGAAGGCACGGAAGCCGCATCAAAGACACGAGGAACCGCTGTTGGCGCTTCCCTTTTCGAGACTTTTCCAGACGATGACGATACCTTGGTTCCTCTACTGCAAACCTTCATGGACGCAGGGTGGCACCCGAATCAAGCTTGGGAGCCCAGAGAGGGGAACTACCCAAAGTGGGCGCTCCAAGATCCTTTATGCGTCCGCAACAAACCTCTGGCCAAATTTCTCCTCTCTTGCGGCGCTGATCCGAATATTGGCCCAGGGTGGTATCATATTCCGACACTTAAGGAACAAGAACCAGATGTCTGGTTTCCAGTTGAGGTTCCGTTTCATCGGCATGGGATATGGACATTTGGTCTTGCGATTGAGACCTGGAATCCGCGGTTCTTTGAGCTGCTCAGAACGTACAGCGATCCTGTCCTCAAGGTCTCCGAACTCATGCCCTTGCTGCGCATCGTGCGAGACATGTTAGTATTGTCAGCTGTCGGCCAACATAGTGAGGACGGTGAACGATGGGTGAGCCCGTTCTCCATGCGTCGTGAGATGGCTGAGCACATGTTGAGCTTCGATGACGTAGGTGTCGATGACGTGAAGTGGGCAGGAGAAAGAGGGGAGCAGACTGCTCTGACTTTGGCTTGTGCCACGGGGGACTGGGGTTACGTGGAGTGGCTTCTTGACAAGGGGGCTGATCCAAGTGTTCTTGACGGGATCGCTTTCGCTCATGATCCCAAGAGGCTGTTGGAGCTTACGAGTCGGGCTGGAGCACCCGATTCAGGGCAGGTCGAGGATGTTGCCCGGCCATATCAGATAAAATTGAAAAAGGAGCTGGACCAATGTAAGCTAAACAATCGAATTATGCGCCGCTAAGGCGTGATCAACAAGTTATGACGCCGGGACATATGTATGAGGTGCCAGATAGGTACATCAAGTACGACTTGTCCAGGAAAGACAGGATGGAGTCGAGGTTTCCATAGACCAGGGCCCAGCCCATCTGAACTTTGATGGATTGCAGTATCGTTAGGTTGAGTATTAACTTGACACTGACAATGTTCAGAAGAACGAAGTTTTCAAAGATCCCCAAGATCTAGCAGGGAACGAAATTGAAAATACGACACCTGTAGCAGTCTTGATAAAGTTGATAGACACTCATTTTCAATTGTAGGCTACTATATTTACATTCTCACCTCGATTTAGATCTACAGCTCCATGTTCTTACAAAAGCATGTCCCATTTTTACAGGTTGTCATTCCGCATAATGTTTGGGCTTTATCTGGAGATGAATGGATTGCCGGGATATCTTATGACAGGCCGCAAAGACGATTTTGTTATCCAAGTCACAACAACCATACATCTCCCGGCTGGAACTTGTGATCTTAAAACTGCTAATAGCTGAACAGACGACACCCTATTATGCTACTGCCAAGTTCTTCGCCCCCGGCAAGCTGGTGAATAAGTTGAGACTTCCCTTCGTAGCCTTGCACCTCAGCCTTCCACGGAGGGGCTGACTTCTCCTTCTTCCTTCCAATTTCCTTGACAATCGAAAGGTTACCTCTCTCCCTTTCACATCATCGGTTTCCAATATCTTCCTCGTTTTTCCATTTGTTTCCTTCGCAGGAAGGCAAACGTGTCACCCTCATCTCCCAGCTTCAAGCTGTCGAAAAGGCACGACAGCCGTCGCCACATCGACATCAAGAACTTTCGGTCTTTGCTTCACCGATGCCAGACGAATACAGTTGAGAGATTGAACTCGGCCATCGAAATAACGCAAGCGGAAAGTCACGATCATGTCTCTGTCAAAGCTTCCGAACCTGACCGATTCGGTCCGCGTCCCTTACGAAATTTTCCTCAATATCATCGAGGTTCTCGTCCGGCAAGAAGTGAAAAATACCCATCCGCTGGAACACGTCCTCGAGTACGACGGACGGAGTGAGGCCAGGATTGTCGTCAGCACGATCGGCTATGACGATGATCACTATGTACGAATCAACCGAATTCGCGACCTCCTGCATATCGATTCCAGAAGCCGCAATATGGTTAGCAAATACTTCCCTCGAATGGCTATGATCACACGCAGGCATCGGCGTCCCCGGGTCCCGTTCGTGGGACGGGTGTGCCTCGCTACCGACATATTCACTCTCAAGGAAAATCACGAGATCGATTTTCTCAAGGCCTCGATCATCCTGCCCACCGTCAATGGCAATAAGATCGTCCGGAACATCACGGCCATCAACGGAAGCGACACTAAGTTCTTCCGAGAGAACTTCGGAAATTTTGTCGACGTGCTCGCTTCCCTTCCCAACCTCCGCAAGATCTTCATCGATGGTGGTAACTATCAACCGAAGGAGAATGACGACAGGTGCGCATGCTCTCTCTCGGAATCCCACCCAGAGTTTACGACCGTTGACGCGTTCCACTTTCCATCGTTGGCCAAATGGGCGGAAGACTACGGCGACGTTGCTCGAAAGTTTGGTCCTCAGTTCAGAAAGAGAAACACTTCAATCATAGCCCGTGTCTCCACGAACACATTCAAGTCTAATCTGGAGCTGGATATCACCGAGGATGCCATTCGCGTCAAATCCAACTGCCGGAACTGCGACTGCTGCGAGTGCTGGGTGGATGAGGTCTGTCTAGATATGGCTTGGCTCCTTCGGCAATGTCGTCTCGCCGATCTCAGGGAGGATTCCGAAAGTCCCCCCTAGATGCTATTATCTGCAGATCTATGCACTCAAAGGACGAGATACCGGAGGAGCATTGCGAATGGAAAGGGGGGAGGGGTGGAGAGTAGGGGCGTTTCCTCGACCTTCGAAACATAGGATGGGACAATGAAGGAAATGACATCTCGCGAAATGGGTCGAACAACAAGATGGACATCCTTTCATGCTATTGAGGACTCCTAGTGAATAAAACGAATAGTTGCGCATACAATCAAAAGAGAGACTCTATAGGCATTCGACACCCAAGTAAGGTGTCTACATTGATAGCTGGCTTGGTTACCTACCATCTTGAACCCAGCCTGACGAGATAAACTGTTTCGTACATGATTTGTGGTCTTGTCACAATTGAAGTGGACAAAAAGCACTGTGTGAAACAGCGTCGACCGTCAGCATTACGATGGGAAAGTAAGTCAAGAATTTGATGTAAGCTGCAATCTACCGCAAGTGATACAAACAACCTCCAAAAATGGAAATGCAAAGAATACTCTTCAAACTCCCATCCGTGATACCTTATCGTAAATACCACAGTCCAAGCCTCATGGAAAAACTAATCCTGCTGCTGCATCGCTTGCTGTAGAGTAAGGCCAAGAGCTCTGAGATCCTCAGAAAGCTCAAGGTAACAATCGCAATGCGGGTCAAGGAACCGCATACGAACAGCTCCATCCTTCAAGGATAATCGTAATGTCTTGGCGCGGGAACTCTGTGTCCATGCTGTGCTTGTTGTTACGTAAACATCAATCCCTCGTTTTTCTGCAACGCGCAACTGCGTCTTCAAAGTCTTCAGGTCGTGACCCGATGCATCCAGACCCAGTTCGGGGAGGATTTGGGTGTCGAGTGGCATGTCGTCATCGTGAGAGTCATGGAAAGAGACTCTCGGATCGATCCCTGTGAAGTTTTGTTCGGCATGGATCCAAATTTCTCGCAAGTTGGGAAAACACAGCAGCGTTTCAGGAGTAAGAGTTTGCGGCCAAATCTGAGTGGGTAGGTAGTCAAACCAAGTCCCTTTGACCCGTCTCACTAGTTGAAAAAGCTTTTCGTGTTCAGGTTGAGGATGAAGTGTGAAAGATGCATGGAAGATGCTATTCCCGTCCGGCGCTATCTCGAAAATGTCAACATCCGGAAGCACACACCCTGGCAGCAGACGGACCCTTTCGTCCATGGATCGAGGATCATACGTGCGGGAAAAGTACGCGACGCGTACCATGTCGTTGGTAACGAAGGCTCCTTTTACCAAGCGTCTGCTGGTTCCGTCAATTCGTAGAAGGTCGCGGATTTGTTTCCATCGCTGCATCTGTATCTTGAAGCTTTTACGGCCCCACAACACAACAGAAAAACTGGACTGCGAGACACTTTGATGCTGCCCGTTCGTGAAATCAATTGTGTAGATTACCTTTTCATGTCTAGCCCGCTCGTAGGCCTCCGAAATCATTGCCTCTACAATGAGGAGGAAAATCTCGTAGGGCAGGTTGATAGGGTCCTTCCGAGCTGGGAAAACTGCATGCAACGATTGACCGGACATGTTGCTTTTCCTTTAGGGGATGGAGTGATAGGATTTGTTGCTTGATTAGTGTACTTATACCTCTTTCTGGAGGACTTCGCTTGTAGTGTCTTGAAAATCTGAGTATGTTGAGAAGTTTGGTGATGAGAATGTTGGTGATTGGCCGATGTGGTATGAGAGAACTCCAGATATGACATTGCATCTTGGTATTAGTCCATCTTATACATTAACAAATTTTCATCGGCCTTTTGTTCCTTTGATCAACTGTTCTTGGTCTCTCTTGCATTGTCATCGCTCAGACAAATCTATTGTACGCATATCATGGGCCTAGTTCGTCGGTATTATTAGTTGTCGCGTCAGGCATTGATCAGTCCAAGTCATTGTTACACGACTATTGTCTTTGAGACAATAAGGAAATCACCATGTCTTCCTTCGAGGATCTTTGTGCTATTTATTGGGCTTGAACTTTTCTATTCTTGCCAGCATGTCCTCCTAGCATTTACTCCAAGTAAGTAGTATAGGTACATGACGTCAGAAAGCTTCCTGGCCACTGTAGCTTTTCTACACATAGCTCTTTAGATATGCCACAAGGCTCCTGCAGAATCCTTTGAGTCTGGACACTTCTTTCTAATTGAGCTACATTTATAAGACACCACCCCACACGACGGATCACCCCCTACGACGGATCACCCAATTCGGCCACATTCAGCCAAAACCGCTATTCCATATATATATAAATAATTAAAGAATAAATATTTCAAAAAATACACAAGCTATAAAAAAATATAATTAGTATAGAAAAATATTTTAAAAAATTATTTTTGTATTATATTACATAATAATATTAGATTTAAAATATGCTTTTAAATGTTAGTATTTATTAGTAATTTCTATATAAATACTAACATTATACTATATTATATAACTCTTTCATTTATTAAAAAAAATAAAATTTTAAAGTGGTTTATTTTTAATAGATTTATATTATACTTATATAAATAGTTTTTTATTAGTAATGTAAGTATTATTATATAAAAATATTAAGTTATATTATAATAAGTAGTATTTATAAAAACTTAAATTTCCTAAGCTTATATAATTAGTATAACGTATATAATAAGCAAATAAAATAGATAAGTAAGTAAAACATAAAATCGTAACCATAACGTAAATATAATTAAAAAGTACCGCTAATAGTTTTATATTAATTCAAACTACTTAATATCCTCTTTTATAAATACTTCTTTAGTAATTTAATATATTTACGTATTATAATTAGTATTCTCGTAAACGCTATATCGTTATTAACTCGTCTTAGTCCTTAGTTAATAATTACTACTTTAATACGTTTCCTCTTTAATTTAAGTTATTACCTCTCTTTATAACTAAAGGTCTTCCCTATTAATTACTATAAGACTTCCTCCTTATTTAAAACGTATTTTCTTAGCCCTCTTACGTTAGCTAAGTAGGTTATTCTCTTTTTAAAAAATCTAATTTTTAAACTTTAATAAAGTAATCTTATATATAAATCCTCGCGCCCCCTTTAATAAATACTTAATAGCTTTAATAATTAAAATTAGGGAGCTATTTTAATAACGGGTAATTCGATTTTTAATAAGTTATAATTATAATAATACTTTTATTAGGTTATTTAGTATTTAAAAAGTCTAGGCTAGGGGTATTATTAAAAAGGATTTTAGAAGCGTCGGAGTATATAACTTTATATTTAGCTTAAATAGTATACTCTTTATACTTAAAAATATAAGCCTAGCTCTTCTAAATCCTCCCTAAATATTTTTTTTTATAATTACTTATATAAATATTTTATAAAACGTAAAAAAAAGGTCCTTTTTTATAATATAAGTATTACTTTATTATATTTTTTTTTTTAATTTCTTAGCTATATACCGTTTTTAAAAACCTAAAATATTTAATATCTAAGGGCTATAATAAATAAAATAAATAAGCTAATATATAAAAAATAACGATATTTTTTTTTTTATAATATAACTTAAAATCCGTAAAATAATAACTTTTATATTTATTAATAATAAAGAAATAATATTAACTTTTTATACGTAGTTTTATATACTATTTAAAGTATTTTACTTAATTTAAGCCTTTTTTATTTATTATCTATCCGTTTTTAAATATTATAATAACTTAATTACGTAATAAACCGGATTTTATATACTAAATAGAGAGGTAATATTTACTTATAATAATAATATATAATAAGATACTATAGCCTAACGAGCTAATAACTTAAATAACTATAACCTATTTATAATTACTAAGCTATATTATTTTTATATTTAAACGCCTTTTTATATTTATAATAACTATTCTAAATATAATCTAGCTTATCATAAAACTAGTCTTATTAAAGTTATAAATATCGGACTTTATAATACTATATTTTATAATTATATTCGCTATAAAATAAAACTACGCGTTTATTATATTTAAATTTTCGTATTAAACCCTCTTATAATCATACTTATAAAAAAATCGCATCCAGAACTATAATTAGTACTTAATAAAGTTAAAAACCTAGCGCTTCTTAACGGGGGGCGTATTGTAATTAGCAAGTAATTAATTAATTATATTTTTTATACTACTAATATAAAAAAAAAACGATTAAAAATCTAAATTAAAAATATACTTAACTAGCTTCTCTTCTTTAAATAGCGTTAAATTTTATAAGTTAGGGGTAGTATTATAACGTAATTATATTCCCTTAAGTCTATAAATAAGCGTAACGTAGCTAACTAAATAAATCTTAGCTATAGCCCGAGCGCTTAAATAAGGGTTATTTTAAATAGCTTAGAGAGTAAGCTAAACCTAAGACTCTTTATTTAAGTATATTATAATATATTATAAGAAAAAAGTGCCCAGTTACGTTAGAGTATTATAATTACGATTTCGTATTTTACTCGCTTATCTATTTTACTCGCTTATTATATACGTTAACGTTAAAAATAGTATATTTAATCTTAAAAAAATATTCTAAAAATTCTAGTATTTTAAAATACTTAACTTTATCTATTTTTTATAAAGTTAAAAATCGTATTTTTATATAATAAGAAATATTATATTTAACTTAATAATATTTTAGTACTTATAACTAATAGATTATAATTTATAAAAATTATTTTAGTAAGAAAACTATATATTCTATATCTAAAAGTATTTTTTATATATTTTTTATATTATAAAATGAAGTAGGTAGAATTAGTGGTTTTTGACTGAATTGTACCGAATTGGGTGATCCGTCGTAGGGGGTGATCCGTCGTGTGGGGTGGTGTCTTACCAGGCGTTCACGATGTCATGGCTCTACTCATATGCAGCAAGTGATTCCATCGCCTCTTAACTATCAATGAAAAGCCATGGTCCAGTTTAATGCCACAGAACTGTCGGGAAATACTGGAGGGTGATGATAATTCGGAAAGGACCCGAGCGAGACATATGTGCCAGATGTAGAAGTCAGTTTGTCTCAAGCTCGCTAACTATTACTCAACAGATGGCAGATGGCCATATACACTTAATCCCCCAAGTCAGCTAGATGACCACATGAAGAATTTGCCTGCTTAGTTGGAGTCATTGGAGCAAAGGTGGGAAATTAACATTACGAGGTCACCACAGCATAACAATAAAAGAGGCTCGTGAATACAGAAAAGACGAGGTGAGAAAAAAGAAAATGGCTGTTGTAGCTTCAATTATATGACAGACTCGCTTAAATGTTCCAAGGAACACCAATTCTCCTAAAACCAAGCCTTGACACCAGCCTGAATGGCCTTGAGGAGGCTGAAGTCGTACGAGTCCTCACCCAAACTCCAAACAGCGACGCCACCCAGGCCACGAGCCTTGGCAATCTCATTGAACTTGCGGGTGACAAGAGCAGGAGTATCCCAGGTCCAGAAGAAAGGACCGGCGGGGTCCCAGTACCACTGGCCACCGCTGACCTCATCGGTCTTGCCGTTGGCCATGGCAGTCTTGAAGGAGGAGAGGGTGGAGGTGCCGTTGCAGATACCATAGTCGGACTGGCAGCCATTGCCGCAGTGAGCAGCGGTGGCACCGCAGAATCCGTACTGGGAGCAGCAGTTGCCAGTGGGGCACTTGTAGAAAGTTCCGGCACCGCAGGAAGCATCCGGAGAAGTAGTCAGGTTGGTGGGAGCAGCCTGGAAGTTGGCGGTCTCGAAGGTGACGGCGCCAGACATGCCCGTATCGGTGCCGTCGGCAGCCTCCATGAGCTCGGTGGGGCAGCCGAGACCCTGGGTGCAGTTGTAGCCCTTGGCGGTGGTAAACCACTTGGCGTAGAGAGCAAAGCCGAGGTTGATCTTGGCGGGCTCGACGCCAAGAGCGATGTAGGTGTCGATAGCCTCAAGAGAACCCTTGATGTCGGTGTGGTGCTTAGTGATATTGTCGCGGCGGTTCATGAGATCGTAGGTCATGACGGTGAAGTGGTCGACGGCGGCGTTGATCTTGGGAGTCTGGTGCTTGGTGAACGCAATCATGTCGCGCTTCAGGCCCGGGGCGGTGACGGAAAGCTCCATCTTGTGGTGCTTCAGCTGAGTCTTGATTGCGGACAGGAGCAGAGGGAAGGTGTTGATCTCCGAAGTCTTTTGGCTATTTGGCTTCTGGATGTAGTCCGCACCATTGCCACCGGGATATTCCCAATCGACATCTAAGACCACGTTCAGTCGGCTATCATGACAGAAACACGGCGAAGGATCATGCTTCACTTACCGACACAGTCATATCCGAGCTTGACTGCCGTCTCTGCGACGTTGATGGCGTACTTGTGACGGCTCTCGTTGGTGGCAGCCCCAAGACCGAATCCGTCCGTGTCGCCCCAACCTCCGATGGCCATGCAGACCTTGGTTCCGTTGTTGAAAAGAGCGCGAACCTCATTCAGGGGCTTGAACGGCTTGTATTCGCCAGCCGGATCGGAAGCAAAAAGGGACGAGTTGGCGAATGCGGTGATTACGTGGGTAACACCCGAAGTTACGGACTTGTCC